TCCTTTTATTTCTCTCAAACATTCCTTTATATATTTTACAAAAATATTTAGTGGAGACACATCTCAACTTTTCCTATCTTGAAGAACTGGAATCTTTTATCTGACTAACTCTATCTGTAGAAATGCTTCAAAGTCTACATTGTCTTGGGAATTCCCTGGCCATCCAGTGGTTAGGACTGAGAGCTTTCACTGCTGAGGGCCCGGGTTCAATCCCTGGTTGGGGAACTAAGATGCCACAAGCCACACAGTGTGGTCAAAAATTCAAAAAACAGGAAAAATAAATCTACATCATCTGGCATTAGGATCTACTTTCTTTTGGAGAGTTTTTGCGCATTATGGCTTTTTTTGTGTCTTTTGGTTACCTTGCATAGAGCCTTGTTCACTGAGGGAACCCAGGGACTTGTGACTAACACACAACTGAGATTCTTCCCAAGATTGGTAAAGGAGACCTAGATATAGCAAAATCACTGGCTCTTAGGTTGCTTGATGTAATACACAGTCCACCATGGGATATAATAGATACCCATCTAGAGGCAAATGCAGAAAACAAAAACATACAGTGCTCTAGTGCTCTAGACGCTCTTACACTACATCTTTACACACAACTGACAGAATTTCTGTATGTCAAAAGCTCCCATTTTGTACTTTTTCCAAATATCCCTATGAATAACATACCTGTCAAGATAAGGTAGGATTTAAAAGTGAACGAGGATACATAGAGACCTAGCGTAGTATCCAGCAATTTCCTGAGTTTCACCCAGAATTGAAAGAACTTGGTAGTTCTATCCACATTCATGTTCACAGCAGCATTATTCACAGTAGCCAAAAGATGGAAGCCCCCGAAGTGTCCATTAATGGATGACTGGGTAAACAAAATGTGGTATACATATCCAATGGAGTATTATTTAACCTTAAAAAGAAATATTCTGTCACATGAAACACCATGGATGAAACTTGAAGGTATTCTACTATGTGAAATAAGCAAAATACAAAAAGCCAAATAAGCCATCCATCAGTATCCACAGGGGACTACTTCTAGGACCTGCTGCGGACAACAAAATCTAGGGATGTTCAAGTCCAAGAGTCAGCCATCTGAATCCGTGGTTCTGCAACCACAGATTCAACCAACTGTGGATCATGTAGTACCATACTATTTATTGAGGAAACATCCAAGTATAAGTGGACCTGCGCATTTCAAACCCATGCTGTTCAAGGAACAATTGTAGTACATGGTTCCACATACATAAGGTAACCAGAGGAGTCTATTTCATAGAGCCCAAGATAGAAAGCACAGTGGTGGTTACCAGGACTAGAGCAAGGGGCAACAGGAAGTTATTGATTAATAAGTACCAAGTATCAATTTGGGATGATGAAAAACATCTGGAGATGGATGGTGGCAATGGCTGCATAACAATAAGAGTGTGCTTAATGCCACTGAACTGCACACTTAAAATAGTTTAGTAAATTTTACATGATGTGTATTTTAGGACAGTAGAAGATTGTGAGTGCAGGATTAGCAGTAGAAGTATTTAATGGATCCTCCAAAAACCACAGATCTGCGGGAAAAGAAATTTAAAACCAGTTTGGTTGGCAGTGCCTCTCTTAGAGACCCAGCTGTGTAAGATACCAGCCCAAAGAGAAAATATTTGCAAATGAAACAACTGACAAAGGATTAATCTCCAAAATATACAAGCAACTCATACAGCTCAATATCAAAAAAATCAAACAATCCAATCCAAAAATGGACAAAAGAACTAAATAGACATTTCTCCAAAGAAGATATACAGATTGCCAACAAACACATGAAAGGATGCTCAACATCACTAATCATTAGAGAAATGCAAATCAAAACTACAATGAGGTATCGCCTCACAGCGGTCAGAATGGCCATCATCAAAGAATCTACAAACAATAAATGCTGGAGAGGGTGTGGAGAAAAGGGAAACCTCTTGCACTATTGGTGGGAATGTAAATTGATACAGCCACTATGGAGAACAGTATGGAGGCTCCTTAAGAAAACTAAAAATAGAACTACCATGTGACCCAGCAATCCCACTACTGGGCATATACCCCGAGAAAACCATAACTCAAAAAGAGTCATGTACCACAATGTTCATTGCAGCTCTATTTACAATAGCCAGGACATGGAAGCAACCTAAGTGTCCATCAACAGATGAATGGATAAAGAAGATGATGCACATATATACAATGGAATATTACTCAGTCATAAAAAGAAACGAAACTGAGTTACTTGTAGTGAGGTGGATGGACCTAGAATCTGTCATACAGAGTGAAGTGAGTCAGGAAGAGAAAAACAAATACCGTATGCTAACACATATATATGGAATCTAAAAAAAAAATCGTTCTGAAGAACCTAGGGGCAGGACAGGAATAAAGATGCAGATATAGAGAATGGACTTAAGGACACGGGGAGGGGGAAGGGTAAATTGGGACGAAGTGAGATAGTAGCACTGACATATATACACTACCAAATGTAAGATAGCTAGCTAGTGGGAAGCATCCGCATAGCACAGGGAGATCAGCTCGGTGCTTTGTGACCACCTAGAGGGGTGGGATAGGCAGGGTGGGTGGGAGACACAAGAGGGAGGAGATATGGGGATATATGTATATGAATAGTTGATTCACTTTGTTATACAGCAGCAACTAACACAACAACGTAAAGCAATTATACTCCAATAAAGATATTTAAAAAAAAATAATAAACTAAAAGGTGTGAAGAGTGAAAAAAAAAGAAAAAGATACCTGCCCATAAAAGAAGGACCTTAAAGTACTGGAGGTTTCTTTAGTAATATTAAATTTATGTATCTGAGCTGTTTATTTAAAATGGACATTTTAAATCAATTTGCAAATCAAAAGTCAGACTTTTTTAAAGGCTAGGTTTGTTTTTAACTACTAAACTCAGACCCTAAATGGGGAGATGCAGAGTGTAAAAAAGTGAGTATTAAAAAAAAACTGTTTAGCTGGCATTTCAAAGACTAAAACACTGAACAAAACACCTACCACAAAACAGTATTTTTAAATCTCCACATGCAGGGTCACTCCTGTAGGTGGCCGGCACAGGGAGGTCTGTAGCCTCACAAGCACAGCTGCCTCAGCCATTCAGAAACAGAAACACCCTGTTCCCAGGCAGGCACCAGAGGGTAGGCCAAATGCAGTGGGTCATGCAGGGAGAGCATCGGACACACATCACTGAGAGCCGGTGGTTGGGGAGGGAAGGTGGGCTTTGACACAAATCAGCCACCAGGAAGCGCTTCAAGGAAGAAGCCCACACAATATAGTGTTCTGTGTTCCCAGCTGAGGGGAGCCCAGTAGCTCCTGGAGCTGCCCTTGTAGATATTTGGGCTCCAATCTGCCTGGCTGCTGAGGCATCACATGGCCTTCCAGGCCAGCGCAGGGGCCTGGTGCCCAGAGTCACCATGGGCTGAACGGTGTACCTGTCTAAACATGTTCCGTGACCAAGAACTCTGGGCTTTGCTCTAGAGACAAGACGTGATAGATTCAGGCGGAAGGGTATCCCTAACCTGTCCCTTAACTTTTCCATGAACATTGAGATAAGAATCATGAAATTGATTCCACTGACGAAAGTGATTCGTAATGGTGAAAGGCGCTGTGTTCCAATGGGTCACAAGTGAACTGGTTCAGAAGCTCAGGGTGCAGATCTCTCCTCCCCTCATGGAGCACAAACACAAGCTGACCCTGCTCCACCCTTCACTCTAATGAATAATCTTCCCCACTCCTCGCCTCAAAGCTCCTGTACTAAAGAGATGACTTTCTGCTGTTATGTGGAAAGACATACTGCTCAGGGGCAATAACATCTTACATAATGTCCCCATCACCAGGGACCCACAGGCCACCCTTTATGAGACAAGTGACAGGGCAGTCAGAGGGAGAGAAGGAGGCAGGAAGACAGCTGCCTGTGAGAGCGGCAGGTCTGGGTAAAGAGTGAAGAAAGGGCCAGAGCTGCACTGACTGCAGGGTCCCAGAAAGGCCAGGGTACAAAGCCAATGGGAAACCCAACGGATGCACCACTGGGGGCTGAGGGAGACAGCCAGCTCCAAAGTCGTCTGGGATAGAAAAGGCCAACATGAAGTCTTCATGACCCAGGAAAGCTGGGGAACAGTCACAGCCGTTTCCATCGTCATTACTGTTAGGTCCACAGCAGGGCAGTCATGCAGTCTCCACAGCTGTACCCCTATGGAGGAGGCCAATTTACCTCACAAAAGTGCATTCAGTTCACTGTTTCTGATGGTACTGAGCACTTCCCTACAGGGCTATCCAAGTCCCTGTCAGATGTAACCTCTCCCAAGAAGGTGGGGCTCTGCCACTTCTCAAGGGGGAGTTGGCTCTTTTTCCCACCTGGGTCTGTTTAGTGGCTCTTCTAACTGTGGACTGATTTCTGGGTCTCTGGGTCAGTGTGCTGCTGAGGAGTTGACGATGGGCATTGCTGTATTCCCAAGTCCCGGTACACTTTGTACGAGGGAAAAAGTATTAAGACTTCAATGAAAGACATTAATTTAAAAGGTTTCAGGGTAAAAACTAATATAAAATTAGTGGAGCATATAAATTTCAATTATCGACAGTAAAATCATTTACATGAAAATATACTAACAATGCAGAGAAAGATGAAAAATGAGATAAATATGGAAAAAATAAGATGCTGGACACAAACCCAAATTTATTAGTAATTACATTATATTATAAATACACCAAGGGGGAAAAAAGGATTTTAAGACTGCATTTCAAATACCTGGGCATCTTAAGACTCCATATAATGTCTATATCAAAAGAGACAATTAAAAAGTAATGTTACAGGGCTTCCCTGGTGGCGCAGTGGTTGGGAGTCCACCTGCCGATGCAGGGGACACGGGTTCGTGCCCCGGTCCAGGAAGATCCCACATGCCGCGGAGCGGCTGGGCCAATGAGCCATGGCCGCTGAGCCTGCGCGTCCGGAGCCTGTGCTCCACAACGGGAGAGGCCACAGCAGTGAGAGGTCCGCGTACCGCAAAAAAAATAAATAAATAAAAAGTAATGCTACAATAAGATTAAGAAATTAAGGAAAAGGAAACTGATATAACTACTGATACACTTACTGTTGAGCCTCATTAAGAAGTAGGACAGCAGGGATCCTTGTTCCCTCTTCTTGCCCCAAACATGGGCAAATGTCTGGGGAAGAGCTTTCATTACTGGATTCCAGATGCTTTACTGTCTTTCCACCCAGCCTGGCCACTACTGTTCTGCCTCTTCCAGGAAGCCACGTCTCCATCACCAAAACTGTTGGACCAGTGACTTGATTATTCCCTTCCTCCAAGGAAAGTTAGCCTGTTTGTATTGGTTCCCTTTGTCCTTTGTCCCTGAGTCTCTCAGGGGTGACACAGAGGGCCCATGTCGAGTCTGCACTACATTGGGTTGTCTTAAAGGAGAGCAATGCTGAGGTTGTGGAATTTATTTCAGTTTCTTTGAAGCAGGAACCAAGCCTGCTTGTTGTCTCAATGGGAGAGATGATGTCGTCTTTCTAAGCTCCTCACTGCGTTTCTCAATTCTGAGAAAAAAAGGGGTCAGAGCCTTGTATTCACATGTACAACATGATGAGCAGGGGCAAGAGCGATGCACGGAGGAGGGTCTTCAATAAGCTACTCCTGGTTGACACGTCAACTTGGCTTATGGAGAATTTTCACATGCAAATGACATCTGGTCAGCCACTGAAGAACAAAAGCTGGGATGAAACTGATTCGTGGATCTCAGCGAGCACTTGTTGATGACACTATCACTAGGAGTCGAAGCAGCAGAATGAGGCCAACCTGCATATAAACCTCTAACATGACCCATGAGGTCTCAGACTCAGGCAACTGCAACAAATTCTGCTGGAAATATAGGTCTTATTCCAGAAAATCAGAATGTCATCCAGGGCTAGTATATAATCCATTACACTGCATCCAAGGGAGTTAAGACTAATCTGATAATTCAGTGTCACTGCCAATAATTAAAGAGGTCAACAGATAGGCCAAATAGCAATATGCATACACAAAAAAGAACCAAACATGACACGTTCCTCCATATATTAATACGTATAAATGAAGGTTCAGAGGTTAATTCCAGTCCAGGCTTTGTTTTAAGCTTGATTTGGATTATCATTACAATGGTTTGATTAGCCTCAAGAAAGTGTCATCAAGAAAGTGTCATGGGGCTTCCCTGGTGGCGCAGTGGTTGAGAGTCCGCCTGTCGATGCAGGGGACACGGGTTTGTGCCCCGGTCCGGGAAGATCCCACATGCTGTGGAGCGGCTGGGCCCGTGAGCCATGGCCGCTGAGCCTGCGCGTCCGGAGCCTGTGCTCCGCAACGGGAGAGGCCACAACAGTGAGAGGCCCACGTACCGCAAAAAAAAAAAAAAAAAAGAAAGTGTCATGCACCCTGATGGCCACACATGATGTAACCCAAGGCTGCTCAAACATGAGAACTGTGTAACGTTTTATCTGAGGCTGAAATGAGGTTTTTATTAGACAGAGTCCTAGGAAGGCAAGATGGGCAACATACACAGGTTAACAAGTTCTGGCTAGCTGACACCTTGCATGATGTGGGGTGTGGGAAGCTTAAGACTGGGGAGGGTGCAGAGATTAGGCATATACTGCTGGTAAATGCATTAGACCTGGTAATGCAGTAGCTGGGTTCACTGGTGGCACATAAATGAGAGACTGGTTAGTTCTGGTGGCAATAATGGTGCGGTTGGTACACCTGTACCGAGGACGTTACTGACAGCTGGTAGAATTGAGCCAATAAAAAGTCCAGACAGGGCTTCCCTGGTGGCGCAGTGGTTGAGAGTCTGCCTGCCGATGCAGGGGACGCGGGTTCGTGCCCCGGTCCGGGAGGATCCCACATGCCGCGGAGCGGCTGGGCCCGTGGGCCATGGCCGCTGGGCCTGCGCGTCCAGAGCCTGTGCTCTGCGGCGGGAGAGGCCGCAGCGGTGAGAGGCCTGTGTACTGCAAAAAAAAAAAAAAAAAAAAGTCCAGACAGATCCTGTTCAATTTCTGTAATTCCCAGTGGTAACAAAGATGGGGGAGTAACTGAGGACAGCTGAACCTCCATAAACCCATCTTTAAGAGGAGGAATAGGTGTACTGGTCATTTGTCTGTCTCTGCACCCAAACCCCACCTTCAGGAACTGCCAGTCATGGCGTCAAGCAGCGCACATTAACAAGAGCAGCCAGAGTCACATGAGTTTTTCACTTGTCAAGCACTTGGATGGGATGACAAAACCAGAGGGAGGCCATGTCACCAACAGCAGAGGTTGCTTGACCCAGACACATGATATGATTGTTACCCATGGGTTTGGAGCTGGATATAGGGGTGAAAGAGAACATTCATTGCTTTTACCCTCTCCCTGCAATGCCTGAGGTTGAATGCCTTCCACAGGTGTCAGGGTGTTGTTTTCCCACAAAGGTCAGGAAATTGGGGTGTCTCACATCAGTAGATGAAATCTCACTTTTTCTCTATTCATCCCATGCTTAATCCTGACCCTGAAAGGATCAGGAATGTGAGAGGCCAAGGCCATCTTTACAGAATTTACAGAGATGTACTATATTCTCTACTGCAGCCATTGGGACTTGATGAGCACGATACACAGTCAAGCAGTCCCTGTCTTCGCAATGTCTTAACCAGGTCCACCCAACAAAGAGAAACCAGGGGGTCCAAAGAGGATTAACTGTGAATCCTCTAGGCCCACTTTTGGCCAGGCTGTGGCCTGGAAGATGTAGCAACTAGACTGGCCTGGCCTGACGACGAGGAGAAAGAAAGACGTACCACTGCCCAGGAAAGGTCAGGGCCAGATGACAAATGTTCAAAATAGATCTTTGGGACCAACCGGAACACTATCCTTTTACAGAAACCCTAAGATTTCAGACTCAGGGTAGCATTTCCCATATTTCCTACATTTCATTTCTCTTAATTGTAAATCACCCCATGTCCAATGGATGAATAACATTCCTTTTTCTTTTTTCTCTTTTTCTTTTGGCCACACTGCATGGGTTGCAGGATGTTAGTTCCCTGACCAGGGATCACATCCAGGCCCCGGCAGTGAAAGCACTGAGCCCTAACCACTGAACTGCCAGGGAATTCCTGATGAGTAACATTCTAATGGAAAAAAAAATGATGACTCTACAATATTTTTACATCCATAATGTTCTTCTCCACAGTGTGATCTCAAGTCAACATCAAAGTATTCAGGAGAAGTACAGTTTTCCACAAATCTTACCTTAGTAGCGTTCCTCTGCATTGCAAGATCTCCCAGATTTAAGGAATATATATTTCCCTGAGGAAACAGTAAAGTGCTTACCATGTTTCGCAGTAGTATGGCTTCACTGTGAGCCCTAACAGGCTGGGTTGTGAGATGGATGACTTTCCCACATTCCTTATGCTTGAAGACCCTCTCTCCAGTGTGCTCTTTTCACGTCAAGTGAATCAGGACTACTGAGGGCTTTCCTACGTGCCTGACATCGATAGGACAAGGTAATTTCTTTCAAGACAAAAGGAATAAGAGAATTAAAGGCTTTCCTACATATTGTTCATTTATAGGATTTTTCTAGAGGGTAAGTTTTTCATGTATCTAAAAGGAATTGCAATAACTGAAGGCTTTCTCATGTTGTTTACATCCTTAGGTTTTCTCCCCTGTGAGTTTGTACATGTCTAGAAAGGCCTGCATTCCAAATGAAGGCTTTCCCACATTCCTCCTATTTGTAGGGTTTTATTCCAGTGTGAACGTGAATGTGAATTTTAAGGTCGGAGGAACTTCTAAAGGATTTTCCACATTCTTCACATGGGAAGGGCTTCTCTCCACTATGAGATCTTGCATGTTTCCTAAGCTGACTAGAACCAATGAAGGCCTTCTCACATTCCCTGCATTTATACAGTGTTGCTGCAGTGTGAAGAAGAATGTATTTTTTACAGTATGAGGAATACCTATAGGACTTTCCACATTCCTTACATATAAAGGGCTCCTCTCCAGTATGAGACTTTATATGCAAAGTAAGTTGAGGAGCTCTAATGAAGGCTTTCCCACATTCCTTACACATAAAGGGCCTTTCTCCAGTATGAGATTTTATATGCCATAAGCCAATAAGCACTAACAAAGTCCTCCCCATGTTCTTTACATTTATAGGTTTTCTCTCCAGTGTGGGTTCCCATGTGAATTTTAATGGATGTATGATATTTACAGACTATCCCACACTGCTTTCTCCCATAACCTTTTTTTTGTGGTGTGATCACGTACACGTGTACCACAGCTTGTGGAGTGAACAGAAGCTCTCCCATGTTACTTCTGTTCACAGGGTGTTTCCCCATTCTGAGTTACCACTTGTGCCTGAAGGGAAGGCTGATTCACACAGGCTTCCTCACCATCACTGCATTCCAAGGCTTTCTCTCCAATGCTGGTTTTCCCGTCCACAATATCTGGAGTCAGGATGATGGCTTTTCCACACTGATTAAACACAGAATACTTTTCAACAGTAGAGGTTTTCTTCTGTGGAGTAAGGAAGCTTTTTCCATACTCATTATGCTCGTTAAGTGTTGCCTCCATTTTGAGTTTTCCAGTGTTCACTGAAGTCTTTCCTATGTTGCTCACAGTCATAGAGTTCCCGTCCATTGTGGATTCTTACCTGTGGTTGGACAGATGAATGATGATGCAAAGATTGTTCAGACTCATTAATTGATCTTACTCATGTCAAACTTGAAACATCATTACAACGATGATGATGACTTTTACCATTTCTATTACGTTCATACACCTCTGCCCTGTTGATTTCTTTCAAGTTGAACGATGGAATCCTTCTGCCAGAATGATGTTCCATCTACTCCAACCTTCAAATAATCCTGTACAGCTTCATGGACTGTTGTAAAATCTCAATGCCTAGTTACATATGTGGAAAGTGGGACTTCCAGGAACTCTGAAGGACCAAGTTTCAAGGTAGGTTCAGGATGTCCCCAAATTCATCATATTCAGAATACAGTAAGTCCCCTACATATAAATGAGTTCTGCTCCAAGAGCGCATTCATAAGTCCAATAAAGTTAGCCTAGGTACCCAACTAACACAATCGGTTGTATAGTACTGTACTGTAATAGGCTTATAATACTTTTTACACAAATAATACATAAAAAACAAACACAAAAAATAAAACATTTTTAATCTTACAGTACAGTACCTTGAAAAGTACAGTAGTACAGTACAACAGCTGGCATACAGGGGCTGGCGTCAAGTGAACAGGCAAGAAGAATTAATGACTGAAGGAGGGAGGGGAGGTGGGAGATGGTAGAGTTGAAGAATCGTCAGCAATAGGAGACGGAGGGCAAGCTGCAATTTCACTCACGCCTGATGCTGATAGCACAGGTTCTGGTTCCTTGCTGGATTCAATTCTACCTATCCTCTTGAAAAAATGATCCAGTGATGTCTAGGTAATAGCTCTTTTTCCTTCATCATAGATGACATAGTAGCACTGGACTGCATTCTGAACAGCTGCAGCAGCCTTTGTGTACCATTCTACATTCGGGTCCTGTGCTTCAAAATCTAACAGTGCCTCCATAAATAAGAAAATCCCCTTGCCACTTCCTGCATGGTGAATCTCTTTGGTTCTTCAGTTACTTCTTCTTCCTCTTGTCTCTCTTCATCCTTTCTCTGGGCCTCCAATTCCATCATTAGTCTTCATTAGTAAACTCCTCATGTTTTATAGCAAAGAGTTCAATGAAGTTGTCCTCTTGCAGATCTAGCTCCAGATTCTCCCTGAGGATCACTAAGTTGCTGAAGACCTCTTTGGACTACTCATCCACCTTTTCAAATCCATGAAAATCATGAACAAACTTCAGGCAAAGGTTCTTCCAAACCCCATTCATGGTGATGGCCATAACCTCATGCCAAGCAAAGACAATGATTTTTATGGCCTTGTACATGTTACAGTCCTTCCAAAATTGTCACAAGATTGTTCCTGATTGTCACTTGCCTCTACTGCCTGACGAAAAGTGTGACATAAATAACATTTCTTGAAAGTCACTTTAACTCCCTGGTCCATAGGTTGGATGAGCGATGTAGTATTCAGTGGCAGATGCACTACTTTGACATTGGGATGTAAGTGGTCCATGAATCGGGGGTGGCACAGAGCACTGTCAAGCAGCAAAAGAATGTTAAAAGGGACATCCTTCTCCAAGCAGTATTTCTCTACCTCTGGTATAAAGTGGTGGAGAAACCAGTCCTGGAAAATGGCCTGTGTAACCCAAGCTTTGGGGTTACTCTTCCACACAACAGGAAGAAAGCCCTTGGCTATGTTTTTAAGGGCTCTTGGGTTCTCTGAATGATAAACTAAGAGAGGCTTCAGCTTCATATCCCTGGAAGCACTGCCACCAAACAACAGAGTTAGCCTACCTTTTGGGGTTTTTTAAAATAAATTTATTTATTTATTTATTTTTGGCTGTATTGGGTCTTCATTGCTGTGCAAGAACTTTCTCTAGTTGCGGCAAGCGGGGGCTACTCTTCATTGCGGTGTGCGGGTATCTCATTGCAGTGCCTTCTCTTGTTGTGGAGCACAGGCCCTAGGCATGTGGGCTCAGTAGTTGTGGCTCACGGGCTTAGTTGCTCTGTGGCGTGGGATCTTCCCGGACCAGGGATCGAACCCGTGTCCCCTGCATTGGCAGGTGGCTTCTTAACCACTGTGCCACCAGGGAAGTCTTAGCCTACCTTTTGCTGCTTTGTAGCCTGGCATCAACTTTTCCTCCTTACTGATGTAACTTCAGTCTGGCATCCTCTTCCAGTACAGTCCTGTCTCATCCACATTAAAGACCTGCTCAGGGTACTTCCCTGGTGTGAAGAATCATGGCCCTCTGATTCTTCGCCATGTTACTTCTTCAAGTCTTCATAAAGACTTTTAGCTTTCTCTTGAATCAGCATTAAGCTGAGCAGGACTCGACGCTGATGCTGATCCTGCATCCACACCCTGAGGGGTTTCTCCATCTCCTCCATCACTTTTCCACATTTCTTCGATATTATTGTTGACATCATTGGCACAGCAGACTTCACATGATCCATGATCTTGTCCTTGTTCTTTAGAATCATGCCAATGGTTGAATGATTCATGTTGTAAGAACGAGTGACGTCTACCATCTTTTAGCCTCACTCCATTCTCTCAATTATTTTCACTTGTATGTTTCCATTGTTAACACTTGGCACTTCTTAGAAGTACCAGCTATATCACCACTGCTTTTATGCTTCCTTCCAGACATCCTGGGCTTGAAATAAAGATACTGTACTACTGTACTGTATACAGTACTGTACAGTACACAAAAGCACAACCACTTATAGAGGATGAACGCATGTGACAACATACGCCAGACACGTGAACTAACTTACGTGATTGGACATGCGAACGCACATTTGCATCTTTGAAAGTTCACAACTTGAAGGTTCATACGTAGGGGACTTACTGTATTCAGAATACCTCGCCAGAGACATCGCTCTCCCCTGGGAGAATGCCACTTATCGCAAACATCTATCACTTGTGCTCATGCCATAACTAATAAAATTCCTATTCTTTTCTAAATTTGGAAAAATGATATGATGTTTCAAACTTACCAATGTTACTGTTTCCATCCCAACAGATGTTTTTCCCCCCAGAATATCCTGCTGAATTGTTGAGCCTTTGATTTTAAGTTGCATTTCCCATTAAAAAAAAGAATAATATAAGAGTTTCCAGAAACAAAGAGTACGTTGAAGAAGTTAAAAATAATATCATTTTATTTGCTTCCAAATTAAAGATACTAAAAAAAACCACATAACAGATTTGAGGAGTTTGGGTTTGCCAAATGTTTAAGAATGCTAGGAATGCAGAGTCAAAATACAGTAGCTAATTAAAAAGATATGATGGGGAAAAAAGACTAAATATTATCAGTAAAGGAAAGGAGGGAGGTTCGGAAAAATAGCATACATAAAAATGATAAACTTAAAAAAAGAAACAGAACAAGCCATTTTGTGAACTCAGAGGAAATTTTGAGTAAATGTGAAGTAAGTACGTATGACAATTTGAATATATCCTAAAACATCAGAGACCAATGACCTCAGCCTTTTAAGAGAAAGCACATCTTGACATGTTTCTATTTTTTTTAACATCTTTATTGCAGTATAATTGCTTTAAGATGGTGTGTTAGTTTCTGCTTTATAACAAAGTGAATCAGTTATACATATGTCCCCATATCTCTTCCCTCTTGCATCTCCCTCCCTCCCAATCTCACCCCTCTAGGTGGTCACAAAGCACCGAGCTGATCTCCCTGTGCTATGCGGCTGCTTCCCACTAGCTATCTATTTTATGTTTGGTAGTGTATAT